CTGTTGCTGCACCGCCGTTATCGCGATTCAGCCCAGTCTAATGTAATAGACAATACAAACAATATGAACGGTGCATTAATTATTTTAAAGTGTAACGCGCATTCAATAACAACATATACAGAGATAATACATAACAAAGTACGTAACATTGGAGTTCCACAGTACTTTGATTAAGTACTATAATTTAATGCAATGCATAAGTAAGGATAAATCAGCGACGCATTCGGTAATATTGTATGTGGAGTATATTTTTCTATGATTCACTGCTGAGTTCAGCATAATACAAGAAGAAATTTATAGAATATGTATAATACAGATAATACAAGGTAGTAACAGTGTGCAGCGCATACGGTGACAGAAAACATCATGTGACAGGTCACTTTAAATGTTTCACTGCGGCTGGTTCACTAAATAGCTCCCACTACGCATGAAATGTATTTCCGTCACCTTTATTTGATAATATAGATTATAGATACGAAATAAGTTAGGCATTCAGTATGGCCATAAACACAGCATTCTAACCAAACAGTCTTTTTGCTAGATGAAAATTATAGAAAAACTCACACACAGTCTACCTTTATGTAGTGTTCACGATACTTGCATGAACAAAATGCGTATGAAACAACACAAAGCCTTTACATTGATGATGCATTGATAACGTAGCAATATATAATATGGTGCAATGATACAATGCATATATATATATATATATATATATATATAAGGCATATCGGCACTCAGTGTATACAACAGCGATAAGGGTGGTGCATAAAGTACAGCCTAAAATGGCTATAAAGATAACACAGTTACAAATAGCATTTTGAGCAAATGCATGTATATGGCACTAAGATGATACTAACTATACTGTAGTTTTTCTAAAAGGTGTTCACTTGTGTTCCAGACTATTAAATTGCTTCAACAGGCAATAACTTTGCTGCCTGTTAATGTAATTTAGGCCAGCCCTTGAGTTAAATAATTACTTGTGCTGGTATATCATCAGGTAGTCGAAGACTTAATAGAGGGGTAAAACTATACTGCTGTATAGAAACTGAGCTCGGTTCTTTAACATCAGAATGATTTAGGAGTGATTTAAAAAGGCTTTGTCTTATTAAGTAGTTCGTTTCTGTGGCCGTATTATTAACCATATCTTCCTGCACTGTTAGGAGGAACAGAAATGATCTCTTGACAAGTGAAGTTCTGTCGTTATAGCCATTTCACAAGTAGCAAGTCCATCGTTTCATGTATGAGATGGGAAATATGTTTGTGCTGTTAGTTAAAAGTCAGTTAGTGCTCATAACTTCCTGATCGGCTAATTGATCTTTATGTCTTTGCTTTCTGTCCCTGTGTGTACTAGAAGCCAACAAAGTTTGAGCTCTCCAACTGCTGATATAATAGTTGAATCCTTTGATTACATCTTAGTGGGAGATTTCTGAAGCGCTCCCCCACGATTGCAAGTACCGTATTTGACGGCATATAAGACGCACCCTTATTTAGACGGCCACATACAAGGAAAAAAAAGTTTCAATAGCGTGGTTTCTTTTAGTTTTCACGTTTCTTAAAAGCCAAATAAACAATTATTGAATGTAATTACCTTCACGTATAAGACTGTGTCCTTCACGTATAAGACGCAGGTAACTTTTTTGTGACCAAATTTAGGAAAAAAGTGTGTCTTATATGCCGTCAAATACGGTATATTGCAAAGCAAAATTCTGGATATTACAGTATTTCTAATTTTTTCTCGGCTTGGAATGCAAAATTATTTGTGGTTAACTTCCACATGCTCATATTAATAATATTAAATAAGGTAACAGGTTAAAGCAAGTGAAGAGAAGGAAGAGTTCTTGTTAGGGATTGAAGCTCAAAAATTAATAAGTAAAGGAATAATAAAATAACAAACTGCAGATTCATATTTAAGATTTTAATTTCTTTGAAGAAATAATTTAATCATACAGTTTCCTAACTTTCACATTACAAGACCTCAATGTGGGAATTCTTCACGTGTGAATATTATGAGCTTTTCACATGTCGCAAATTTTAGATGAAATTTTATGCACTTATTGAGGCTTTTATTCGTTTTGTTATTTATTATTATCAGTAGTAGTAGTAGTAGTAGTAGCAGAAATATACAACAACTACTATTATTAACGTAAGTCCTGTTTCACCTAGCAGTTACATTTTTTGGCTACTCTTTTTGCATGTTTCTTTTTTTTTCTTTTTAAATTTTTGTTCAAATTCAATTCTTTAGCTTCCCATAGTAACAGTCTCATTTTAAAATTTTAACTTAATTGCCCAACTAAACTAATATAGTCTGTAAAACCTGGCTTGAAGCTTCATTGTGAATGTAAATAACAACTTAGATAAATAAAACTTTACATGTGTAGGGAATGTAGAAAATATCTATAGAATTCTTTTTTCGATTTTTTTAATTTTCATTCCTTTATCGATCCATAACAATACTCGGATTTTCAAGTTTTCGAAAATTCATCTAATTTACAATAATAAAATTAGTAAAACCTGACTAATTGGGAATGTAAATAACAATACGCGTCAACAAATATAAATTTAAAATTTGAAATAAATTTGCTTTTTTTCTCCTTCAAATTGTTCACAATTCTGTCTCTCCAAAAATGCTTGGAGTCTTTACTCAGTTCTAAAATTAAATATAAATTTATTAAAATTTCCTTTACGAAGTTTTCCGAAATTTAAAAGAATCAAGTTTAGAATTAGCGGGGGGACTAATCCTAAATATTCGCGATTAGAAATTCGAATTCTAAAATTTTCTCGAATCTCTTAAATCCTCCGCAGAAGAATAATAGTAAGAAGAAAATGAAAATGTTCTTTTTTCTTATTCTAATTTTTATTATTACTTATTTTGTTATTGTTTTTGTTACATTTAATCATTTTTGTATTATTGTGATTAAAAGATTTTCATCAAAGAAAAATCCCAGATCTGCGTTTTATAAAAAGCGAATTTAAGAATAAAGTTTTTAAAAGCATATTTATATGGATTAAGAAGATACAAATAAAATTTAATGTAAATACGTAATTAAAATACTTGAATCTTGAGTTTCACTTTGTCAGTATAATTTGTCAAAAATATTGTAATTATAGTTCAAATTAAATTTCTTTCCCCAGTTCTTTTTAAATCTAGACAATGGTAGACGACGGTTAATTATTTTAAGGGTTAATACAAGCAAACTCTAAACATGGAACGTTAAATTATCTCCAGAAAATTAGGGATGTGTGATTCAAAATCGCGGGGTGGTGAAATTAGTGATGCAGTTTAACTGAAATTGCAATAAACACCTTCAATTTTAGTGAGCACTCCTCGTGAACGACTAACTGATCACTCTAAAGAAAGTTTAACGTTTCTTTACACAAGTGCTTGAAAGATTCGAATAATGAAAAAAAGCAAAACGAGTCTGGTTTCCGAACCTTTCCCAGGATTCGGGGAATTTGAGGACTGGAACGTCCCATCCCTAATTAAAATTGTTATGGACACTAATATTTTAAACAACAGTGTTTCTTATTATTTAAAAGAAATTAAGTTTGAAGTAAAAGTAACCGAATATATGCGCTCTTTCGTACTCGAGTAATAAACAGCCAAATTTTGCAGCCCTTCCATCGCCAAACAAAGGAAATTGGCGAAAAACTTCCGAATAACCGATACATAGTAGCGTGCGCTAACGTGAGCGAGACATGAGATTCACAATTGGTGTCGGGGGGGGAAGAGGTTGAAAGAGACTCAGGGTTCGACGACGAGAGGGGGAAGGGAGGAATGACAGACAGACAGACAACCGCTCGCAATTACCCTAATGGTTCCGTTGGCGATCGTTTTCTCTGGATCCTTGTTAACAAGGCATAATGAAATTCCGGAGGTTGCGGTCGCGAATGCCAAGTAACATCACGTCACAAATTTTCTCCTAAAGGGGAAAAGTGGTGTTTAGGAGAAGAAAGAAAAGTATTCAAGAGCATACATCGAAGAAGAGCAAAGAAAGCGATATGAAACAATGATAAAGAATTTTTCTTCTACATAGCATAATACTGTCAATAATTAGTCTATCAAACCCCAACTTTCCTTGATATAAACTGCATTTCTTCCTCTACATTGTAAAAGGTTCTTTCCGCTGGAGTTCTCAGTGACAGTAACTGCCTAATTATTTTCTCTCAGGTTTGAATTTTCATTGAGTAACTGCCTGATAAAATATTATCTATTTTGCTTTAGATTGTAGTATCGAATGTGAAAACTAAGACAAAAAATTTTGCCATGGTTGCCCTTTTTCAGTAGTGGATACTACCTGTTTTCCCCTTTCATCTTTCATACCAGCTACTGCAGCCTGAAACATAGTATGGAAATATTTTGTGATGTTGCGTGGCCTCGACTTGTCAGCAACAGTAGTAGTGACTGCTATGAACTGTAAATTATACAAACTCGTAAGAAGGGTTTAAATCCCTTTTTATTTCCCTTTAGAAATCACAGTTGCCTTCACTTGACGCTCACAAACTACTCCGACCCGGCGGTTAAACAAAATAGACAAAAATGCAACTAAAAATAAATGACAGGATAAATAAATAACGAAGTCACTACCTACGAGGCTCTATAATCGTAACGTATGTTCGTGAATCATAGCACTGAAACGAATCGTAGTTGAGAATAGGTAGAAATGAGAAATCGGATTTATTAGATTAGTAGATAGAATATGGGGGTTCTACGCCACAGGGATCAGGGATCCGTGGGATCCCAGAGTGGCGTGCCTCACTGAGGCGCAGAGGGGGGCAGAGGAATTTACGGAAGGAGCACGTGAAGGGTTGATACGTCATCAACCACGTCGGCTTAAAGCACGGACGTGCGTTGCATCCTGTTCGTGACGTCATCACCGCATTATCACTTCGTATTATCTTGCTATTCTTACGTCAGACACATGTTTCATCCTTTTTGTGTAGTAATCCGGTTTCATGTACACGTTTATCGATTGACATAGAACTTCCCGCTGCTTTGATGTCATACTAAATCCGCGGTCTGATTGCAACTTGTTAGAATTTCTAGCGCATTCTTTTTAGTTCAGCAACGACCGCTAGAGGGCAGTAGTCGTATCCATAGCGCTTTCTGATTGGTTCTCCTGGATCCTGACCAAGGCTTATATAGAGAGACGCTGGACCCTATCATATCATTTCCGCCTGTGTTGCATGTTTCGTTCCTGCTTTCGCTCTTCCTGTTTGAATCAAGACGTGTTATTCGAGGTACGTATTATTTTTAATCATTTATCTTTTTCGTGTTCGTATATTTGATGTTACTATTTAATTTGAGTACGAAAATCTGCATTTGTTGCACTGCCTTTATAGTTTGACTTTATATTTTTTAGATGGATTTGGAACAACAGTTTGAGAACGAGCCTCTCAACATGGATGTGCCGAAGATTTCAGATTCTGAACAATACCATGAAAAGCCCAAAGAAACACCCATCTCGCAGAACGCTAATGGCAAACGAAAAATAGACGAAGAAAATACATATAAGAAGAAAGTAAGTATTACGAAAAGAGTTTATTCTTGCTATAACGCAGACTTATTATTCTTTTATCAAACGACTCATCATTATTTTTTCTCTTTTAGCGCAACGGACGCTTTACTGAAGGCACAATCCCAGAGGAGCTGACACATATTGGCAACAATGTCTTTGTGGGACCTACCCTTTTCAACGGAAAGATCACCGTGCACATCAGGCAATACAGCAAGTACGGGAGTTCATATTATCCACTCGTAACGGTGTGAATTTAGAGCCTTCGTGTTTGGACACCTTCTCTCAACACAGCCCACAAGAGGTGTTCACAATGACTTTATCTGCAACTACTTACCCAAGAATTTTAGTGCGGAATATGATGGTTACCACATCACGTTAAAGCAACTACAGTAAAAGGAGTGGAGAAAAGCAATATTAGACTTACAATCGCCCCCAGTGGAAGAATTGTCCACAAATTACAGTCGTATCAGTACATCATCGTCACTAACCTCGTATATCAATGTATGGACTCTTGTGAAGCCTACGAAAGTGTAGCCGAGAAATTTATCAACGAGGAAAAGCTTCCAGAATCCTTCGACATTTCTTTGGGAACAGCATGCCTCCAAAGCATTCTAAAGACGTCACTAGAAGAGCTGATCCAAGAACACGGAGATTTAAAGTATCCTAAACGTATAGACCGTGAAGAGCTCGCTATTCATAAAACAGAAACTATCAACTCCTTGGCTCTGAAATTAAACTCTATCGACATAGCCAGGCAATTTTATGGAAATGTATGGACTGAAGAGCCTTATTTACTTTTTACTGATTAAACCAGCACATTATATCACAAAAGACTTTTTAAAATCTGTTTGTCTCAAACATGTACTTGATGAAGTGAAAGAAACATTTTGTCCTACCAATTTGGAAAAATATGGTGCTTATGGTATTGAATATTATGAATGTTTAAAAAGTAAATAAAATTATTTGTTTATAATGGTCTCTTTACTGTCTCATAATTAAGTTTAAAAATAATATATTAAGGGAACACTATAAATACTCATACACATTTGCTTTCCGTTCATAAGAAGGATTGATATAGAAATAAGAGGTTGTATGTTTTAGAGTAAACTATAAATGAGCGTTCACATTTCTATTAGTAAAAATCACTGCTGTACATACCATGAATCTGACTCAGATGTATCGCGATCCAGCCCTTCCCGCCAGTTTTGGTGGAGTGAGTGCTTTGCATCGTGCTTTAAAAGGCAAAGAAAGTCACAAAACGATCAAGAATTGGCTTACCAGCAAAGAGTCATATACTTTGCACAAGCCTACCCAGCGACATTTTCGTCGCAATCGCGTCCTCGTCAGAGGCATCGACGCTCAGTTTCAATCTGATTTGGGGCAGATATGCAGTCTCTTGCCAAACACAACGATGGATATAAATATTTGCTAACGTGTATTGATGTGTTTTCCAAATATGCTTGGGCTATTCCACTCAAAGATAAAACAGGTCAGAGTGTCAAATCAGCTCTTGAACATATTTTTAGCGAGAGAAAACCACATGTGTTACAGACTGACAAAGGTAAAGAGTATAAGAATAAAATCGTTCAAACTTATCTTAAAAAAGAAGAAGTTCGTTTTTTTCACAACTGAGAACAGTACAGTAAAGGCAAGCATCATCGAACGATTCCACAGAACCCTCAAAAGCAAAATGTGGAAGTACTTCAGTGAAATGAATACATATCGTTATATTGACGTAATAGATAAATTAATTCACAGTTATAATCATACCTGGCATCGCTCTATTCAAACTGAACCAGCGAATGTCAATAAACACAATGAGAAACAAGTGTGGAATCAATTATATAAAGACCTACCTAAACCTCAACCTAAGTTCAAAGTGGGAGATACAGTGCGCGTTAGCAAATTAAAAATGATTTTTGAAAAAGGCTATGAAAGTAACTGGACAAGAGAAATATTTACGATCCATGAAATCCTTCCTAGAAATCCACCTGTTTATCGACTTAAAGACCTTGCCGGAGAAGTCATTGAAGGAACCTTTTACGAAAAGGAACTGCAAAAAATTTCAGATTCGGGATATTATCCTGTTGAAAAAGTGTTGCGAGAAAGAAAGAGAAACGGTGTGACGGAATACTATGTGAAATTCGTAGGTTATCCACCAAAATTTAATGCATGGGTGACCGATGTGAAAAGAATATAAAAACTCCACATCGTATAAAGAATCGTCATTTGCCAAGATGTCTTTCTATATGACGTTACCTAGTGATAGCTCTCAACGTTATTTTCCAGGAAATACTATCTCTCATTTCATTACTCAATTGCCTGTACCCATATCTTTGAACGGGGAATGGGAAGTTGGTCTTTCTGAGATCATTTACCCGCACACCTGGTACAATATTAACAAAGATAACAATCTCTTTGGCTTTGATTTGGGTGACTCTTCAGGTGTAAGGGAAGTTGCCAATAGAAAAATACCACCAGGATGTTACGAAAGTGTCCCAGATCTCTTAAAAGCCATGACTTTAGCATCATTTAAAGATAAAATCTCTTTACAGTATGATCGTTCAACAAAAAGAGTGAAAATTGTGACGCAAAATGGAGCTCGATTAATCTTTTATGATTCGGGATTGGCAAGTTTATTAGGCTTCGAACCGCAGATTGTCGAAGGTACTTGGAATAGTCCATATGTGGGTGATTTGCATTCTGCTTATACATTACTTTATGTGTATAGTGATATCGTTTCGCCTCAGATTGTTGGTAATGTGCAAGCTCCCCTCTTAAGAGTCGTGACAGTTACCGGAAAAGATGGTGATACCGTAAATGTACAATACGACAGACCGCATTATGTACCAGTAGCAAGAAATTCATTTAATACAATCGAAGTGGAAATCCGACTCAATTCGGGTACATTCGTTCCTTTTGAGAGGGGTAAGTTAATTCTTGTGCTTCATTTCCGAAGGCGACAAATCCTATAAATATGACAACAGAAGAGGAAAAGTTTTATTTGTAAAGAAGACATCAAGATGCTCGTACCATACGAATGTTGTACTCAGAATTATGAAAATCATTATCAAACCGGCTCGGGACTTTCTTATTATCCAAGGTCAACCCTATCAAAAGGGGGCTATGGTCTCGGGGGATTTTTTCGTAGTCTATTTCGCTCTGCTATGCCTTTGTTTGTGAAAGGAGCTAAAACGGTGGGAAAAGAAGCTTTGCGCACCGGAACTCTCATCGCAAATGATGTGTTGGCAGGTGAAAACATTAAGTCTGCTGCTAAACAAAGAGCCAAAGAGGCGGGAAAAGTATTAGCTGCAAAAGCTATTCGTAAAGCCCAGACCATGGTTGGTAGTGGCAAGTATAAAAGGAAGCGAAAACAGTCAAAACACTTCATTTCTCCGAAAGCTGTGAAGCAGAGAAGACGTGATATTTTCGATTCATAATGGCTTTTATCATGAAAGATTCCCCTGAATGTGTTAAATCCGAATTAGAACTTTTTCATTTACCTGGAACTCAAACGGCGATTCAGAGCGGCCAATGGGTTCAGTTTCATCCTCTATCTAATGTATTTGATGGAGGTCCCGTAGAATTTCATATTTCAGGCAGTGGAGAAGATTATATTGACTTGTCACAAACACAACTCTACGTGAGAGCAAAAATAATAAAAACGGATGGTTCACCTCTGGATAAAGATGCTACAATCGGCCCAGTAAATTTGTTCCTGCATTCTTTATTTTCTCAGGTGGATGTCACATTAAACGAACGACTGGTGTCTTCTTCTAGTAACACATACCCCTATAGAGCTTATATTGAAACTTTGCTCAATCACGGCTATGATAGTAAAACTTCAAAATTAACAGCTGAAATGTATGATAAAGAACTAGAGAAGCGATCTTCCTTTTTCAAACTGAGTTCTACTGTTGATATGATTGGTGGCATTCATTTTGATTTATTTCATCAAGAAAGGCTTTTATTAAATATGGTGGATGTTAAATTAACTCTCATAAGAAGCAAGCCGGAGTTTTGTTTGCAAGGGAAGCAGGTCATAAAGTGGTTTTAGAACATGTATCTCTTTTCGTGAGAAAAGTGCGTGTGAGCCCTGGAGTTATCCTAGGTCATGCCAAAGCGTTAGAGAAGAGTAATGCCAAGTATCCTATTAATAGAGTATTATGTAAAGTCTATTCCATTCCCCAAAATAGCATGTCCTTGATACAAGACAACGTTTTTGTTGGCCAGATGCCTCAAAGAATTGTAATGGGATGTGTTGATAATGACGCTTTTCATGGAAATTTTGCCAAGTCACCATTTGAGTTTAAACATTATCACCTGAATTTCATTGGAGTGTACGTCGACGGACAGCCTGTGCCTTACAATCCACTGGAACCAAATTTTGATAACAACAATTATATTCGAGCTTATCATAGCCTGTTTTTCAATAAATCCCAGCACGATAAAGGCATTTTTATATCCAGAGAAGACTATTTACAAGGTAATGTGTTATTTGGTTTCGAATTATCACCAGACCTTTGTGATGGAGAGCATATGAATCTCATTAAGCATTCTAATCTACGGATTGAGTTAAAGTTCAGCCAACCTCTCGAGCAAACCGTGTGTGTGATTATCTTTGCAGAATTTGATAACGTGATTGAAATTAATAAATCGAGGAACATCATTTTTGACTTTAACTGATGGATGGTCGTATTATACAAGACATTTTATCTCGTGAAGCAGCAGCTGTCTTTCGAGGAGTTTATCCAGCAGATAAAATACCTCCCTTAATTAGAAGATCAGCCATCGTTGTGAATACAGACAAGTCCACAGAACCCGGAGCGCATTGGGTAGCCTTTTTTCAAGATGAAGAATTAGAATTTTTTGATTCTTATGGACAATCTCCAGATGTTTATGGATTTCCACTGTTCAAATGTAAAATGGAATAATATTCCATTACAGAGTGTAACTTCTAATGTATGTGGAGCATACTGTATTTATTATGTACTGAAACGAAGCCAAGGCCAATCTATGTACGCCATTATTGAAAATTTATGTAAAATGAGTGATTTTAACCTGTATCAATTTGTGAAAAAAACTTATGGTGTAAGAATGATTTTTAAACAATGAAATATTTGAAATGTATTTTTTCTTCTCTGTTTTATTTTTCTGACTGAATAAATTTTTTCAACTTATATAAAAGCATATTGAGTTTTAAATAATGAAACCTTTTCATATGAAGAAAAACACAAATATCACTTTTCGA